CGCCTGCTACAAAAGGGATACATGACATCTCCTCCGGGAAGGAGGTGACACAGCTAAGTGGTACTGGTGGACCTGTATTTTGGATACTCCCTAGTGCTAGTTCTAATTATGGTATTTCCTAGTGTTAGATACTTTCTGCTGAGATATCTACCCGGAATCCATTTGCTGAGTGCATCTGTATGCTTGGAGAGGAGGTCTAAAGCATGCTTCAGCGCTGGCAAAGCTCAGCCTCCCTATTTTTCCCTGTTTTTGCTAAAAGGTAGAGACAATCTGATTCACTCCCTCACTTCTTTACTCACACAAACTCTTCAGGACAGCGTTGATCCTTCTCTCCCATGCCATGAACCCAAAGACGCAGGTAGCACATACATGAAGACCCAGTAACTGCTCAACTGTTAGACATTGTGGAGGAAAAAAAAAAAAGAAAAAAGGGAGAAAAGAAAAAAGGAAACTACTCTCTGGTGTCTGTAGACATTAAGGTTTTGGCACAATACTGTCACACTGACTGTGACTTGGAGTCAGCAGTGGCCACAGGATAAGGGAGGTCAGGGTGCGGAGCTTGCAGCAGATCAACAAGTGAGAGAGGAGTGAAAATAAATGATTTAATAGTGGAGGACAGCAAATGGCCACGAACACAATTCTCCATGGCCTCTTCAGGGTGATTACAGCCACAGCATGTCGTCTCTAGCAGCCTCTCACCGCTCTTTTTGGACTCAGAATATGAACTTCAGAAAAACCCATTGCTGGGCTCTCACTGGAGATCAGGCAGCCCCCGGCAGGGAGGGAGACCCAGCATTTGGGATTCTTGGAGGGGCTCAAGGATGCCCATTTTCTGGAGGGCAAGAAACAAACACCTCAGTGAGCATCATCACGTATCAATGTGCATCAGCCTTAATGAGCCTCAGCAGAGATGGGTGACTAATCCCAAAGCAGTCCTTTATTCATGAACATGGCTTCAGGTAGATTATTCAAGAGCACACAACAGCTTCTTTGAATGCATTCACTGCTAAGCAATCAGCTTTCCAAAGTTTCCCGTTGTGGCTGAGTGGTCAGATAAATGATGTGACATGGTTTCCAGTCCCAACTGGGTGAACTTGCAAGCACAAATGTCACCATTGGTGAGCATAATTTTTCGTCTTCATGTGTGCCTCTGACATTTGCTTTCCACTTACCTTTTTACCAATAACATGCAATCATAGCTGGTGGGAGAGAGCAATGCTAAGGGGCCAGAAAAGGGAGGAGTGGAAGGGCCCTGGAGGGGCTAAATGTGGCCTCTGGTGCCCAAAGCATTGGTAGAGGCAAATGCTTCTCATCTCCCCAAAAGCTCTTCCCTGGAGCCCTGCAGCTTAATTCAGAATAAGTGCTTCAGAAACACACTGCTGCCAGGAGACCTGTGCGCTGGCAGCAGCACGAGGTAAATACCATACCTGTACAACAGCGGGCACCTGAGGGGCACCGGGGCAGCCCATGCCAGGCTCCCGGTGGTACATGTGCACATAGGGAGATCTTGCAGGACCCTGGCATATCCCTGCCATTGCTGGCGGCCCCCTGCACTGCAGGGCCAAGCACACTGGGTAAGGCACAACTGACCACACAGGAGACAAACTGCTGTGTGGAAATGGTGGGATCAGCTGCTTTTCAAGTTGGAGTTGAACCAGACCAAGTACAGCCCAGATCTGCTGGGCTGGCTCCTCTTTTTCAACAGGTACATGGGGAAACCCTCTTGTTTTGGCCCATTTCCCCACAGTCATTTAGCAAAGGTGAACCCCTCAGCCACAGGAATCAGGGAACCATAAGCTTCTGGGGGAGCTGACAAAGCACGTATTGCTCATGACACCAGGGTGTGTTGAAGCTCGGGCACATCCTGAGAGCATACACGCTAAGCACAGCAGTCAGCCCAGTGCCGAGAGCCCAGGCAGGCAAGCAGCGGTTGCTTTGGGCTGTGATGCAGTTAGATAGCACCAGGCATAGCTGGATGTCATGGTTGAGTCCCTGCATCTAACTGCAGCCTGGGAGGCCACAGGGTGTGGTCTGCAGTGAAAAACCATGGGTAGCATGCTGCATCCCAGCCCGTGACTCCGCACCAGCGCTGGCATGTGACAAGTGCCACTTATCTGCTTTGGCCTGAGAGAAAACACAGCGGGAGATCACTGCTCTGAGCTTAACTCACAGAGGTCTGGAGGAACAGGGGTGGTCTGGGCTCTAAACCAAGCAGAGAACATTTTCCACCAGCCTCAGCAGCAGGTGAGAAGGCTTTTCCCCACTCCTATTCCAGCACAGCCTTCTTATAGATGCAAAACCTTCCTGGAACCCTCCTTTTCCCCACAAGCCTCACATGCTGGCTGCCACCAGGACCTCCCTGCAGTGACAGGAGCTGCAGGGGAGATGGCCTGAGCTGTGACACCAGGACAGTGAATCACACAACCCAGCTTTTCCTTCTTTTAGTGTCTCCGCATCACAACAGCTCAATCTGGCCTACAACAGGGAAGCTCTTCAAAATTCTCACTCTCCATTCCCCTTTTTGGGAGAAGGGGATGTGGAGTACGTGATCCATGATGTGCGTCTGATGAGGAAACCACGAAGAGCAATGCCAAGCACGAAGGAAGGATGCATTACGAACCCCAGAGCCAAGGATTTGCCCGGCTGGGGCTGGGGTGGATCTCCCTGCAGGGAAGGGCAGGACAAGGGTGCTGCCTGGCAGCCACTGAGCGTTGCCCTGTGCCTCTTCAGAGGGATTTTGGACACCATCCTGCCCAGCTGCAGTGACACATCTGCTCTGCCCTCTTGGCACAGAGGGCTTTGGAGACCATCCACACACAGGTGTCAGCCAGCACCAGGGGAGGGGAGACTTACCTGCTCAGAGGGTCTGCTCTGAGCTGTCAGGCAGGTACGGAGGAGACAGCATCCAGGATGGTCCTGGTGTGAGAGCTTGAACAATTCCTTCTTGAGACACGGCTTCTGCTCTGCATTCCAAGTGCTGCTGGATCTCATCTTTTTCCTAGGAAAAAATCCTCCATAGAAATATATTACTGCATGCCTGATGTAGAGTTGTAGAGCTCCTTAATTATATTACTTTTTTTAAGATAAAGTTCAGAAGCTGATGCACAGGAGATTGTGACTGTGAAGATTTCAATGGCTGTTACCATTTCAGCAGACAAAGCCACAGCACCAGGAGCTGATCCTCAGCAGCATTTCTGGAAGTTCAGGCTCCCTTTTCCTGCAAATTGTATTGTGCCCATAACACAGCACCCTCCCGGTAAAGCTGAACATCTCTGCTGAGCTGGGCTTCCCTGGCCTGGGGAAGTCTCCAGCCCCACTAGAGGCTTCAGATTTTCCCCAGTGCCCCACAAGGAGGTCACCAGGCCATTCTGCCCAGTGGCATGGGGAGAGTCTCAGGAAATCACCTTCTTTTTTTATCTCTGTGGCTGAAGGAAGAAGCTCAGCCTTTGCTGATCACACTATTTCAGGGAACCACAGCACACATCAGCGCTTGCAGCTGAGCCAGTCTTGTCCAGGCATATCCCCTCACTTGCCAAAATGCCATCACCTTTCCCATCCTCTCCCTTCCTCCCACCTCCCTGGGAAAAAAAGCAAAAAAAATCCCCTCTGCAAGCCAGCAGGGGTTAATGTTGTCAGCCATGACGTCAGGATCCCAATTTGTCCGGAGAGTCCCCCTCCCCAACCACAAACTCTCTCTCTCCTCCCTTCCTCTTGTGGCCTTGCAATGAGCAGCAAAACTCTACAGGAGCTGCGGCAACAGCAGTAGGGAGACATTCAGTCCTCCCTTGGAGAGCAGCTCTTTCAGCAGACAGGGATTTATTTATTTTCTACGCATGCATATATGTATTTATTTATTTACTGGGTTGCATTTGTATTTCCTTTTTTTAACCCTTTCAGAAAAGCCCCAAACCTTCCAAGTGAGGAGCCTGAGATTTCCCTAAAATAAAATAACTGCACAGTGGGCTTGGGTTGCTTCCCCTTCCCCCTCGGAAAATAAAGAGGGAAGGGGGAGCAAGTAGGTAAAATCCAGAATAAAATCATACTGCTAGATAACTCACGCCTCCCCCCTCACACACACATACACACACACTCCTCCTCTTCTCTGAAGGTGGGTAGCAGGAGCCATGCAACATCTGCAGAACCGGATGGCAAAAGAGCAGGAGGAAAAATAATCCGAGTGGAGCGCTCAGGGGACACTGAGTTCTTTTTTTCTTTTTCTTTTTTTATTTTTTCTTCTTCTCCTTCTTCTGCATACCTGTGAGATTCGATTTCACATTTTGCTGAGCCCATTTTGAGGCATTTTATTTTTCTTTCTCTTGGGATTTTCTCCATTGCCAGAGGATGTCTCTCGTTGAGAGGATGCTGAAAGGAAGAAGAAACGAATTCTTTGACTGGCACTGAAGGAGGGGGGGGATATTTTTCCCCCACATTTTTTTTTTCATTATTCCTTTTCTCTAGGAAATCATTAACTGGGGGGGGTTGGTTTCTTTTTTCCCTCCCCCCCTTTTTTTGGAGGGGGATTTCAGAAGATCCATCGTTCTTTCCCCTCCCCTCCAAAGATTTTTTTTTCATCCTTCGTCTTTGTGGAAATGTGGACATTTCAGGCAGACAGATTGAGTGGAATTGTCTCTGCTTTAGCAGCTCTTTGTCTCGCCTGCTGTGCGCAAAGGTAAGGATTGCGATCCCAGGCTGCAGGGATAGGGGGGTTGATAGAGGATTTGTTTATTTTGTTTGGGGTTTTCTCCATCGA